CCCACCGGGGCCCCCCCCCCCCCCCCCCGGGCCGCCCCCCCCCCCCGCCCTGGGGGGGGGGTTCCCCCCGGGGAGGGGGGGAGTGTTCTCCCAGGAGTGTGGGGGAGTGTTCTCCCAGTAGTGTGGGGAGTAAGGTATGCAGGAGAACCTGGAACATGCCAATGACACGGACTTGGGCAGGGAACACCTGCGGCGTGACAGGTGCTGTGCTGCTCTTTGTACACACATCACCTCTCTTGCACAACTCCGGCAGCGGCATGATCCCTGTAGTAACCTAGGAAAACTGGCATTCGGAAAAGGTGGAAAGTTAAATCCCCTTAGCCAGTGGGACCTCAAAAGTGCACAGAAAGCTCCATATTGCGTCTTTCCCTGTGTTTCCTTCCCAAACACTCCTGCTCAGCCTGTGTGTTAGAATCCCAGATCAGCTCCGAGAGGGGAAGCAGCACGGGAGGATATTCAGCAAGGTGTGTGTGGGCAGGGTTCAGACAAAGCAGGGAAGCTGAGTAATCAGCCTGCTCTTAGCAGAAACTGGAAAGGACCAGCCCCGAGAGCTGTGTCCCGAACCAGAAAGGTGCTAACAGAATCTTATTTTCTTGCTTTGATTTGCTAATGTCCTATTGAGTAAAACCAACTAGAAGCCTGCGGCTAGAAAAGGCTGTAGACCGGTCAAGCCAGGACACAAACGTGCCCTGCCTGCTATGTTTACGGTAACATGGTTTTGCCAGAACTTTGGCGGGGTAAGCTGAAAGAGCTGTGGTTATATGGAAGCTAGAGACCTGTTTAACTAGGAAAGGAACCCGAATGAGAAGCACCCTGGCCTGCTGTGACTCTTCCTTTGCCTTCAACACTTGAGGCAGAGAAGGTAGAGTTTGGTATCTCAAGTTTCTGGTGAGTCGTGAACTCTCTGTCCTCATCCATCCCAGGAATTCTGGATTCCCCTTTGGCCTTCTCTCCAGAGCCACCAATACTTCTTTCCTCCCCATATCTATTTCCTTCTTTTTTCTCCCAAATTCTTACCAACCAGGGCCAGACATGTGTTTAGTTTGAGAATAGTTTTAGTTTGTCAAGAGCAGAAATGAAGAGCAGAAATGAAGCTGGAGGGTGGCTCCATCTGGAGAACACCAGGGAGAGCGTGGCGGCTGCAGCCGTGAGAAGGCCCGAGCAGAAGATGGCTAGAGCAAGCAGCGAGACTTCAAAACAAGAGGAAAGATGATCCTGGCTGGTGGGTAATCAGGAATGTGTGCGTGCCAATTTTCACATCTTCCTGTGGGATGTGAAACACAGAGGAAGTTTTCTCTGGGACCACATAGGAGTGGCTATGGCCCAGAGAAGATGGAGGTCGCCCCACATTCCATGTTCCACCATGATGACAGCTTTGGGGTTTGTAGTTGCTTTCCTTGGGGTCAGGAGATTTGTTTTATGTTTGTTTTTGTTTGGAGGACTTTTGTTTTTTGGTGTTTGTTGTTGTTTTGTTTTGGATTGGTTTTGTTCGTCTTTAGTCAGAGACTCTCTATGTAGCCTTTGCTAGCTTGGAACTTACTATGTAGACCAGGCCGGCCTCAAACTCAAAGAGATTCACCCGCCTCTGCCTTCTAAAACACTGGATTAAAGGTGTGCAAAACCACGCCCAACATCATCATTGGTTTCTATAGTAGTAGGACAAAGGAATAAAGCAAACCATCACAGGCCTAGGATGCTGTGTGATGACAGTCTTAGTTTTCAGGGTTAATGAAAGTCATCTATTAATTCATCCCAAAAGATTTTACCTGGTGGTCAAAAAGATGCCAAGCCAGACACAAAGGCGAAGTGACAGCCAAAATACACTGTCATTCAGCACCAGACCTGCAGCATCCCAGCTTCTCCACCATCAGTTAGTCCATCACCCTTGGAGGTCAAACGTGTGAACTTCTTTCTAAAAACTTTAGCCCACACCCATCACCTTCCCCGTTTCTCAAGGTCACTCCCTCCAGCCGGCTGACCTCCTGCAGAAGCCACTGAAAAGCTGTCTTCTGAAGTAAACTTTCTGGGAGACGTCCTGCCTCTGCTCGTCTCTGCGGCCGGGGGATAGGTTTGCTTTGGTGTTGCAGTCACAAGAAGAGAACTTGTGAAGAATGCAAGAGAAAGCAGAAGTTCAGAGAATTTCCTGGGAGATTGCAGGCCATCAGTCTCAGTGTGCACGAGGGTTTGGGTTTGCTCCCCAGTGCCACAGGAAGAGGGGGATGAGTTCTGCTGGGGTCCCCGAAGAAGTTCTGGAGTGTCTTGCCCCCTCACGACAGAAGATAGTCTCTTGTTCTTCAATACAATGAACAGCTGCCAGAACTTAGTGGGACAGGATGTGTGTGAACACCTTCTAGTTTCCTGGTGACCTGAGGGTAGCCCAGTACGCTAGCAAAGGAGAGGCAAGATGGATTGTGCCTCAGGGGCAGTCTGTGGGGATGCTTACAAAATCCTGGCTATAGAATAAATTTTTGGTTTGCGTTTTTGGTGACTTGCCCTTGTTGTATGTCAAGTACAAAGTGCGCCCTACATTTCCTACTAACTCATTATTAGAGTCTAATGGCAGAGAGATCTGGTAAATGTAAGCTGCATTGTTCTGGGCACCATATTTCCCCACCAACCCGAGCCTCAAGTCAGAAATCACTTGTCTTTTCCAGTTATTCCTAAATCTTTTTTTTTTTTTAAAGTGATATCACCCACTCCATTTCCCCTGACCATGTTTGGTTTTTCGTTTTGTTTTGTTTTTTGGTTCTTCGAGACAAAGTTTCTCTGTGGAACAGCCCTGGCTGTCCTGGAACTAGCTCTTATAGACCAGGCTGGCCTTGAACTCACAGAGATCCGCCTGCTTCTGCCTCCCAAGTGCTTGGGATTAAAGGCGTGCACCACTACCCCCTGGCAGCATGACCATGTTTTTACTTCTACCCTGCCTACTGTAATGTTCTGTTGGAGTAATCATATATTCTTAAAGATGGGGATATGTTCTCAGAAACACATTAGGCGATTTTTCCTATTTGCTTGTTTTTGTCATTGTGAAACATTAGAGTGCACTATACAAACCAAGAAACCTATGGTGTCTGTAAGTAAGATGGTCTATGGAACCATTATCACATATGCAGATACATATGTGCATATATATATATATATATATCACATATTATTTATATGTAACATATATGCAGGTGTATATATTGGCTGGTCAAAA